GCGTCGGGACCGGAGCTCGCGCATGCGCACCACTAGCGCCGGCGACAGCAGCTGTTCAGACGACCGGGGCCGGGACTGAGCCAGCTCGATACCGCGAGCGCCGTCGATGGGGGCCCCACGCGCGTGAACCAGTGCGAGGACGACCTCCGCCGCGTTTCGTTACGTACCGGTGCGCGCGTCGTAGTGTGCGTGCACGCCGCGCGAGAAACGCTGCGAACCGTTTGTTCTACGGGCAGTTAAAACATTTTCGGCGATTGATTGGCGTCACCGACGGGGGTGTGAAGCGCGGCGAACGGCGATGGACGCGAAGAAACGATACATTTGGTCGGACCGGGAGACCGAACACTTCATCAGGCTCATCATCGACATGGGCATGACGAACATGTTGGACAGCAAGAGGTAAAATTTCGTCGTACGTCCGGATCGCGGCGGAAATGCGCGCCGCGACGACGACCGTACGACTCTACGATTTATCGGATATTGTTTGCGATTGTATTGCGATACTTACGCGTGTACACCGTCGATGCGGTGCGTATTGTTGCGTTCGCGGCGTGCGCAACCGCGGCGCGCACCGAAACGGGAATTCGAACGTAACGGCGGCCGCGGCGATGGTGGGGGGTGCGCAGGGTTGCGCGCGCACTGAAGAGTAGGGTTGTCCGGACGTGAGGGGACGGAGAGGAAAGAAACCGCCGCTGGCAGGTATATAGGGTAGCTGCTGCTGCTGCACACGACGTGCAATAAGCGTAATGAACGATAACGTAATAATAATAATAATAATAACAACTCGTTACCACGCACCCCGTACTGAAACGTATCGACGCACGGAACATGGCGACCGCTCGTCATCACGCGCAACGTATTTCAATATCTCTTCGGTGATCTCGAGTGGTGTACGTCGAATCCCTTTGGTCGTCAGCTCGTGCGAACCTCAAGAACGATATAATATTTGACGACTTACATTTTAAATATGACTCATCTAAACTCTAAGAATTTACGAACAGAATGTTTGGCTGAGGAGAATAATTCTTATTTCTGTATGAAAAATATATAAATATCAAAAACCTTATTTCTTTTGTTTATATTGACTGCTCGAACTATAGTACTTTCGCGAGACTTAATATTGATTTTTTTTTTTTATTTGGTCAGGCTTTTCGCTCTCCTTCTTTGAACCCACGTCTTACATCGAAATCACTACCCGTAAAAATTGAAATATTTTAAAATCTCCAGCATCACTTTTTTCGGTATACCACGCATACTATGTTAAAATATATATACTTTATGCGTAGATACACAGTCTGCTATGTCTGCTAGGTTCGATTTTAATGAACGATTTGGATGCATTTATAAAATATATATTATTTTAATGTTTGTGCATTAGGTTTATTACGTCGAACAATTAATTAATTATTCGTTGAAATTTAACTCGATCGGATTCTTCGAAATCAGTATTTTACTCGTGCGCACGTCTGTACAATATAAACGTACTCGAGCGATGATGACCTTATGACTGGAAATTTTTTTAATCAATAATATCAAATACAATTTTAGTTTCCTTCAGATGTATATTTACTTCAATAAAAATCGATCTCGAGGTTTTTACTCCCACCTCAGCTAACGTCTCGCAACAATAAGAAATCACTTTTCACAAGACACAACATGGGCTATCACATGTTTTCCACTAAGCAATATATTACACATTATTATTTAATGTTATCTCGTCCATCTAATATAGTAGCATTGCGTTAAAGTGCATCGTCAAATATACCGACGCATAGTGGTCGACTTTTTACTCTATAACTGTAACTTTTAATGTACTCGTACGATCTGTACAATGAATTATTATTATACACCCAGTTACATTTTGTACAATATTTAATCGCAAGAAAAAGATAACACGCGAAATAAATGTTTCTGCAACGCACGCCGCGCGTATTATTATTATCATCATCACTAATTTAAAACATTCACTAATATGCTACTCGAATGTTCGGTAGGTACCTACTTCTATTACACATGTGTACGTCTACAATAGGTAGCAGCAACATATCGTAATATAAGCACATGTAATGTGCTCTGCTCTATATAAACGTAATAAATATTCATGCACTCCTTTCGGTTTGTTGATATTCGCCAATTATCATACAAACATGTTGTCCTTTGTAGGTATAACAGCTTAATGAAAGCCGCATATTATGATATCATGGCGATACCCATTATAATCACCTGTAACTTCCACAGTACATGTATATTATTTTATACCAACGAAGCCTCGATTTGAGCTCCACGAACATAATATTATAATGATTTTTAAATACTCATGTAATGTACCAATTTCATTCGACTGGTAAATAATACCATGTAAATACAAACGGCCAGTGATCGTGGAAAAACAAGCAACACGAAAAACAATACCATTAATTAATGTTTGAATGTCAATCGATTATTACGTGTCCTTCATGAACACAAGATACCATTACAAACACACATCTTTGCACTATATTTCAGGGGTTTATTGATATAACATGTTGTTAGTACATCTCTATAAAAAACATAAAAAAATACCTGGTATAATGCTGCCCGTAATTTGTTCGGAATGTGACTAGATCACGCAGTAACATTAAATACATAGTCGATAATTTGTTTAAAAAAAAATATAATAATATAATAAGAGTAACGATTTTAATGATTCAATTATTTTGTATTGAAGCTATTTAAAAAAAAATTAACACCAATTACTGTTCAATAAAAATACGTTCATATAACCAATACGGAATTCAGATCAATATCGCAATATATTTTTTTGATTATACATTTTATAGGTAGGTTAGTATCTGATAGATCTAAATATATCTTTTACATTTATTATTTTTTCACATTTTTAAACCAGTAAAATTGTTGCTAAAGTAATTTATATCTTATACATTTTAGTTCTAATTTATATTTCAAACAATTATATTTAACAATTTATTGAAAAAATCAAGTATATAATAAATAATTCATTGCATGAGACACTATTATGTCGTTCGCAGGTTAACTAGATATCTATATAGTTAATTTTTCTATGGTATTCAACATGAAACGGCTAATCAATTTAAAAATACACAAATAAATACTAGTCAGAAATCATATTTAATTTCAAATAATTTTTAATAATAAATTAATTTTATATTTGAGTTAATAAATTAGAATCGATTTGGTAACATTTGAAAACTATAAAGAGAAACAATTTCTATCAACATAATTATTAATAATAATAATTTATTATGAACAAAGCATTTGATTGCGTAAAAAAAAAAAAAACATTTTAAAAACTGATGAATTATTTTTAATATTATATACTATAATATACTTTAGTCCTAATTAATCGATGGACGGCAAATGGTAAATAAAAAATGAAAAAAATGTTTACTATAGGAGGTCAAATAAAATGTTTTGTATCATTATTATAAATGTCCTCTACCAATACAAGTATTTTCTACTGTTTCAACCATACATGCGCTTTCCATTTCTCGCGAGTTCTGCATGCTTTGTAATTTTCGATTCAGGACCGGATATACAGTTATAATCCGTGCTCGTTCAAGCAAGACCGACACATTTTTTTCGTCCAACTAGTACTGAAGCCGGGCAAGACTACATTTTTCTACAAACCGGATGAATCTTTTCAAACTTAGTATACTACCATGTACTAATTTCTATTTTGAAACAAGTTTGCAAGCAAATGTCGTAACCCGTCTTCATGTTGGTAATCTTGTAAAACAATAGTCCAACAAATAATAAAGTATAATTTATTCTTTTTTAAGTATAAATAAATTAACACCAGTATAAATGATGTAATCAATTATCTTGAATATTGATAAAAATAATTCGAACAAAAATTATGAATTTCAAATATGACATAAATAAATATAAAATATGAATTCGTGATGATAATGCATATCATTTTATCACTTTTAACTAACGTGTAAAAACAATAAAAAATAATCAATGAATAAAGATTAACTTTTAATTTTCTAATTGACTTTATACAAAGTGAAAGTGTAAAAATTATTGCCAAGGGAGAACAGTGTATGAGCAAAAAACTGTTGAAAACCTTTTATGTTCTAAAAGTTGTTTGTAAATTGTACTTAAAAAATGAATTTACCACTAGTAAATGAATTAAAACAAGGAAATCTGGTTTCTATAAATATATAGGTATATATTGTCAATATTTATACCTAACCGATTCTTTATTCAAATGTTGTTAATCCAGTATAAATTCGATTATATACACATACACAAATTAAATAACTCAGGTACATCATTGGCACTATATATAATTTGGCCACTCTGTTCTCCTATATTTATCAAAAGTGTTAGATGAAATGTTTAGTTTTTTTAGATTTTCTTATTAATCAAAGAGATCATTTAATGTTATTTTTATTATGAGTATAATCTATAATCAATTATAGTCGTTAAAATCATTAATATTGAGCTGCTTATTAAAAAATATATTTCATTATTATTTCGATAGAAATTATATTTTCATGGATAGTCAAAATTGTCTTACGTAGGTATTACAATTCATATAAATAAACTCAAATCCTTCTGAATACAATAGCATAACCAAAAGCTATTACAGTCGAAAATATTCTTCAATTTCTAATCTTGAAGATAATGTATAAACACATCATAATATTAGTAATTATATAGGTAAGCCAAGTATAACACTATCTACTAAAAGAAATAAAATAATGACGAGCTAGAGCTTGTTTAAAAACCAACAGAAAGAATATGAGCATAGAATTATTTTGAATATGCTTCCAAAAGTTTAGCTACAAACAAGTATACATATATAGTAACATATACTTTTCTTCTTCATTTAATTCTATACGGTTTCATTTGGCAACTATAGTTTTGAAATGAAAAATTTACACATTTTATTATAAGTGTTATTATTTATCATTTAGTTCTAGTACCTAATGTAGATATAACAATATAATACAGTTAATAAGTCTTTTGACTTCATTATTACAATTATTTCTGTATATAGCTATACAAAAAACTACATTTATACAATTGACGATAAATTATTATTTAAAAATTTACTCAATATATCTGTCATATATATCAATTTTGAAATATAGCATATTCTCCACAATTTTATAAAATTTATTTGTAAAGTTTCTCTATAATGCGAACATTACATCTTCAAAATTACATCATTGACCTTAAGTGTAGACCGTTAACTTGCATATTACTTGATTTGATTTTAAAGATATCTCTGATTTCTAATTACGACTTTAATTTTTTTTTTTTTTTTTTTTGATTTAGGAAAAGGAATTCTGATCTTTATTCCAGTTTAGTTGAACCAATGGCAGCTGCAGGTTTTAATAGAGATGCAACTCAACTAAGGACTAAATGGAAACACCTGAAACAAGATTACAAAGTAGAGTTGGTGAGAATCGAAAAAAATGGCGCTGCTAGTTCAAGAATGTCATACTTTCATTTACTTCACGAAGTGTTGAGCTGCAAACCAAGCGATGCTATGACGTACCTTTGTGAAGTTGTTTCCAGTAAGTTCCGCTCTAATAAGAAGAGCCATTGCCAGGGAGGGGGGTAGTCAACGGGAACATTTTGCCCCAGGCCCCTGTCTAGGAAAATTTAAAAGGACCTTCTAAAAGTTCAGATTGATTAGAAATACTCAGCGTTAGCCATTAGAGACTATTGATATTAATTTATTATTTTTAAACTATTTTTCTTTATGAAATATTAATACATTTTATTAAATACTAAATTATCTTAAATTTATATTAAAGCCAGGGGCGTCATTTGGGGGGTGGTCAAACTATGGTAAACGCCACATTCTAAGAAATTTTTAAAAGTCAGCAATTCTTTGTAGGATGATCAAATGCTAAAATCGAAAAATAGTAAATTTTTATTTACAATTTTGTACTCAGAAATCAGATATTATTCTCTTTTAAATACACGTCCACGGTTTATTAAAAATTGGGAAACACTGAATCCTCCCGTTTTTATGACAATCGTTATTACGCGAACCTTATAAACTTTGTTTTTGGTATATTATATATTTCTATATATGTGACCTTTATAAAACAATTTTTGTGATATCGATACCATAAAAATTGAACTCATAATCTATAAAAAAAAAAAAACGTTAAAACCGTTCCTATTCACCCCAGATTACGGTACATTGTATTTGAGATATAATTTTATGTTTTTTATAAATAAGTTCTGTAAAGTACCTACTTATTGAATTAGATTTATATTATTATTCCATTAAACCTATTGATAGGAAACTTATAGCCTATAGGATAAGTAAATTAATTAATGTTTTACTATCTTTAATGTTATTATTTAATTGGCTAAATTGAAACGTTTCATGTTCTTTGTTTATCATCATGAAATCATTATTCATTACTAATCCTTACATATTTTGTTCCAAAAAATATTTTATTGATAGTCTATTGTCCATAAATATTAAAATATATAGGTAACCATAATTTTTTAAATATTATGCAGTCGGCAAATTTAATCAGTTGCTCCACCTTTTCCAAAGTTGAAATTACGCCCCTGATTAAAGAATTATTTTATAAGATACATTTTCAGTTATTCAAATTTCTAAATAGTTGTAACTGTAATTTATTATAATTATTGCTAGAGTGTGTAGAATAACATAACTTTATCCAAATTTACATATAAATTCGCTATCATAATTATCGATGCGGCAACTCACAAGTTCTTATTTTCTATAGCTGTTTATAAATGAACTAAAAATAAATTACATTTTAATTAAATGTGGTAACTGATCATACATTATTGAGAAGTTATTAAAAATGTAATTCGTTTTATCGATGCATTTAAATCACCTTGATTGGTTGAGGATTGGAAAACTATATTTACTAATATTTTGCATACTTGATATGTATTTTTGATCATACTCGTACATTTTGTGATAGTTGAAGGGAGCGGCGCCGAAATTAATTGGCCCCAGGCCCTACAATTCCTTAAGATGGCTCTGCTAATAAGAATCGTATTAAGAATAAAAGTATAATCGAATTTTGATTTTTTTTTTTTTTTCTATTATTCCTACTACTACTACTACTACTACTACTGCTAGTTAGTAGAATGCGTTTAAAATATTATAATAAGCAAACGCCTAACCCAGGATTTGTCATTTTGTTCGTTGTAGACTCTCCTCCTCGACTGGACGCCGTAGACATAATTAAGACTGAATATACCGAAGATATGAGAATGGAAACCGACTTCTACAGAGTGAACGAACCACAAGTGGACATCATCCAAACGTGTGACGTTCAAACGCAGACCGATACCACTCCGGAGCGACAAGTGTTACAAAAGTTACACTCGTTGGAAAACAGTATGCGATCGCTGAGAGAAGAATGCAAGAGAGATCGCGAGAAGCAAAACGTGTTGATGGAGAAGAACATAAGACGGATGTTCGAAAACCAAAAGTTATTGATGGACGAGTTCTTCGCGAAAACTAAATGCCTGTTGGAGGCCGAAATCAAAGACTGAAGTCCGTATATGCGTTTCGACGTTGCAGCCGTTTCCGATATTACTGTCGCGAAACTGTATCTCGCGCAACAAATTTTATCGATGTGTGATATGTTTTCATAGACCCGTAATTCCACGTAAATGTTTAGAACTGTAAATATGCGTTATTCTACCAAATACTATTATGTAATCCTTGTACTGTACACACATTGACGACGAATACAAAATAAAAAAAAAAAAAACATTATGATTTTGTACCAAATCGTAGTAGTCAATGTTATTAATGCTATGCTATCGTGTGAGACGGCGTTGCGGTGAAAACATTGTTTTCAGCGACCGGCCGAACCGAACGGTAAGTGCTTGACCCCGAGACACGCCGTCGGATTCCGTTGGTCCGAGATCGCCGCGCGACCAAGGACGGGCAGCGATGTCTCGAGTCGTTCGATATTTTAACGAGTTAAACGGGCGACCAAGGCCCAAAAGAAATTAATGTATCTTATACGTTTGCAAATGATTCGGTGGTATGTTGTGTGCCAACCACTACGTTTACTGTTTACGCGCTGTACGTATATCACACCGCAGTGCACCGGACCACCAAAACAGCGGTCGATACATCGCGGTACCGATATCGGGTGTGCGACGTGTCGAAACGTCGGCACGTCGACGGTCGAAACGGTCCGTTGTCGTCCCGACGCGCGAACGGACCGCAGTGTCGAGGCGCGATCGCACGCGGTCCCGCGGCACGTGAGGTCCACGTTCGCCTCTGCGTGCCACGCGGCCGCCCGGATGACGTGTGCGGTTCGATGTCGGCGAAAACGTATCCGTAACGTCGTGCGCGAATAGCATCTACGCGCTAGCAACATCCACGTACGAACGCGCGGGCCGCGTTTTCGTGCGATTGCCGGGTGCGCGCGCATGCGAGTGCGCGTAAACGTAGGTACGAGTGCAAATCGACGTGTACCTCTACGCGTGCACCGCCGAGGAGGCGTACACGGGTCGGCCGACAGCTGCGCTTGTCTGTCCGCGCCATTCGATTTCCCCAACACGTCACGCCGATACGCACCGTGCGCTGTTGAACGACACGAGTGCGGCGCAATGCATACGTGCGCATAAAATAACGTGAGTGTAGCTCGCCCGGTTCGCAGGGACCACGGGCTCATTGTTTGTGGTAGTCCGCGCGTTCCGATCGACTCCGGGATAACACACGCCAGGGGTCGGCAACTGGCGTACCGCGGTCCGGATCTCTGGGCCCCGTCGACTTTTTACTCTCGTACTTCTAATACTAACAACCAAATAATTTGTTTTCATACTGCTGTTCTTGAAACATAAATATTCGAAAAAGGTTCTTTTCGCTGGACCTCATAGATTTATTATTTTAAGCTTTAGGACTCCAACGTAAATTACTTGCCGACCCCTGGTTTATACCTACACTATAATGGTAATACGTGTACGGCGCGTACGTGCCGATCTCGACGGGGTGGCGGCCTTCGTCCGTTGACGTGGAAGCGGGTGGGTCGAGAACCCGGTGGTGGGTGGGTGGGGGGGGGGGGGCGAATTTCAAACGCTACCGGTGAAACTGCTGCCGCGCGCCATCGCGCTCTTGAAAACCACGTTACGTTCGCCCGGCTGTATTGTGCGCGGTGCAAGGGCGTTCCGGCGAGATGCGGGAACGTCCGGACCGGCTCTCGCAGGAGTAGAAACTTTCAGCGACGTCGTTTTTATTTTTATCGATCGCAGATCCTACGTATCCGTTTGTGCGTGCACATTCCTGAAACGAAAACGTGCCCGGTTCCAACATTAACAAGTTGCCAACTGAACCGGGATCGTCGCAAAACAGTTCAATAATGGAAACCGGCAGATCTTAACTCTCACAAAATACTGTTATAATAAAATACTTAGAAAAATATTTATTAGGTTTATCTGAAATATAGTACATTCCAATTACCGTATATGGATTTTTTAACACCTCTCCGATTCTAGCCGATGTGCCGCCCCAAGGTGCAGTGTTATCTCTCACACTTGACAACATGTACATCGTACATCGACCCATACATCCTGATACATGAGAATAAGCAGACGACAAAGTTATTTATTTCGCACACGAACGGACTCTTTGACGGTTTCGTCATCATTGTAAAACCGCCCCAACCTCATATCACCTTGGTACTCCTTATAACGTGTAAGAATAAACTTAAGAAACATAAAGAAATAATAAACTTAAGAAAGAGACTTAAGCGAATATAGCCCAGAGATTTATTAATTGATAAATAACCTGGTTATCATTGTACATAAATATTTAATTCCATTATAAAAATATAAAAACAACATTTAAAAATACTCCTGCCAAGGTTCTCTCACTGAAAGGCCTCTCTCGCATTTTTAGTTTTCACACAATATAATATTATTATATTGGTAAGAACTATTTGTAAATGCTTTTAATTTATCACTAAAACTATTGTTTATTCGTATATCATACTCACTTATGCTTATCGTACAGTATGTGTATGGATTATAATATTTTCTTAGTTAATAATAAAAATAAAAATTATATCACATTCTACTTAATAATTTTTAATTTAATTTGTTATAAAAATGTAATTATTTTATAAATATGCATAATATTATTTTACCATACGTTTTACATATTAATACACTTTTAGCAGTTAAGAAAATTTTTTTACTATTTTCATTTGAGTATTTTCAAATCCAAGATAACTTTCCAAATATTTTTTTCTTTGAACCACTATGCTTCAGTTTTTTTTTAATTATTTTTTACTTAAAAATTACCACGATTGGTTTTTCAATAGCTTCATCTCCTGTAACATTTTCAAGATGTTGGAAGTGTTGGAAAAAATCAAACACTCGAGCAGCCTTCGATCTCAGGAATTTATATGAATAAATAGACCTGGGGTGGATCCAAAGGGGGCGAATGGGGCGATCGCCCTCCCTCCGCAGGCTTAAGTTTTTGAAACTATTTTTTTTATACCAAACTTACGCTGGTACTATGTTATCACTTATATTTATTATTTGGTGATATACTGATATCACAGTTATATACTACTACACGGTTTAAGATATACAGGATAGCTATCGTATATCTTAATTGCATTGATAGCTATCGGTCAGAATGCGTTATGGGTTTAGTACACATTTTCGCCACATCTGTAAAGCGCAAGTAGTTTGTAGAGCTATCTTATTACAGTAGTTATATTAAAAATTCAAATAATTTACCAAAAGCTAAGCTTATTAATTTAAAATCAAAATGAGTATTAACTCATCCAAATTTATATTTATTTCAATTTCTAGTAGAAGAGTGCTTTGCAGAACACTAAAAAAAGAAAATGTATTTACTTAATGAAATACTTCTTTTACATTTCCATGCTTCGAACAAATAATATAATCATATCTATTCTGATACATTTGTGATTCGAATACGCCACTTTGCAGTTTAAGATTATCGCCAAGAAATATAAAAGAGTAGACAAAAGAAAAAAATAGCCTAACTAATCTCAACTTAAATAATACAGATTTTTGCTTATTTTTTTATTAATATATTGTTTCTTGTGTTGTTTAACCGCATTACTTAAATATATTATTAATTTATTTAGATATTTAATTTTAATTCGCACAGAAAATTCCCCTGATGTTTAAATACTGAAAATCACTTATTTTATTAATATTGAAAATAAACTCATTTTGTCAAATTTTGAGATACGCACTATTGCATTCTAAAAGACGATATCAAAATTAATATTTTTAATTTTATCTATATCATGTGTGTCCGTTGAAAATCGCCTCCTTCCTTTATCGTGGTCTGGATCCGCCCCTGAAATAGACAATATCTTATAAACATTAGTTTTAAGACAAGATATTTTTAAAATTTGGACTCTCAATAGCATCTAATGTAGATTCTGCTAGCAACAATAAAATTAAGTATTTACATTGTTTTTATTTTATTTCTACGAGAGAATAATACTATTTCTCAATATTCCTAGAAGACAACTGATTCCACTCGAAATACACATTTTGCGATATTTATCAAAAAAACCATGACGAAGTGGTTTAATGCAGGCTAGTATGTTCAAGACGATCGAACAATTGCGCTAATTATGCATACATTTTTTTACGTATCTGAGTTTAACATCCCTGTAATATCTCCGTGGTAGCTCTATCATTTGGAAAGCTGTCTGACGTCCGTAGTTTTTTTTGTCTGGTTGTCTTATCAGTCAGTACTCGAGTTCTGCTGTTTTCGTTACCGATCACAATTACTTGACGGATTGTATGAGATCCATCAATATACTCATATAATTTTATTTTTATCGTGACAAAAGTTAGGGTCTTACGTGACGTCGGGCCAAAGCACCATTATAGTAATAATATATTGTTTTCCTTATCGCTAAAATATATTTAATTCGCTTCGCAAACACGTCGATCAAGTGAAAAACTTTCGGTCCTCGTCGTCGACAACCATCATTATTTATATAATTATAAATTTTATAATCGTTATTGTATCGAAATCGATTACGGTTAATTGTTCACGATTAAAACAGGGTTTTCTATTGAACTCAGCTGAACTAAGAGAAGCAGCTATAAACTTTTTTCGGTGCAATAACAATGATCTATAGTGTTGATGAAACGTTTATTCTGTTTTTTTTTTTTTTTTTTGATTTTTTTTTCTGCGTTCAAACTATACTGCCCGTTAAAATCAACGTCTTTGTGATTTACAAAATTTCACTTTTAGCGGGCTCTGGAACAATATAAAATATGTTATGTTTGTTGAAGACAAACACATTTTTTCATATTACTGTTAACTGTACGCATGGTGTACAATTATTTATTAATCCGACAAAGTCGCTTATCGTCGCGCTGCACTCGTTTCACGTAACCAGATCGATCGTGACAACTACCTCCATCGCCCCACAAACGAAGTAGTATAAGAATTAAGTATTGTATAGAATAATATATACTAAACTTGTGTATAATGTATTAAATGTCTAGTCGAAAAATTCGATTTTACTTTTTACTACAAATGACCACCAAACATAATACGGAGTACATCATTGATAAACTACATGCGATGTACATACGACTAACGAGTTGGTCATACGTGTTCAAAGTTAAATTTTTAATACTTAACTCGGAAATCGTGTTCTATAATTGTCGGTACAACCGTTTTTCAGTTATACGAAAATTATAAATGATGACTATATATTTTACGTTATTATAATAACTGCAATTATTACAAACAATCAAATATTATGTT